TACAAAAATATTTTTTCAGTGGGAGGAAAGAAAAACAATAACGTCTACAATTCTCTTGTTCTTATAAATCGGGATAATATCGGTCTACACCGGCGCGTTGAGAGCTCGGTGCGCGCTTTATCAAGCCCCACCGAAGCCAACAGTTGCAGGTTAATTCTGATCTTTCTGGATTTATGTATATTTATTTATATTTTAACAAACAGAGAGAGAGAGAGAGAGAGAGAGAGAGACAGCGCCCGGGGGGGGGGGGGGGGGAGGGGGGACCTGAACGGTTGAAAGAAACCGTTTGAGAATGGGGCAAAAGGGGGAAGTCAAAAGCACCAAGGAAACAAACCACGAAGCCAAAATAGGGAGGGTGGGGTTAGTTTATGTTCTAATCGCATTTGTCATTGCTGCTAATTACTGCTGCTGATGCTGTAATTGTTGTTGTTGTTGTTGTTGTTGTTGTTGTTGTTGTTGGTGGTGGTGGTGGTGGTGCTGCTGCTGCTGCTGTTGCTGTTGTTGTTGATGCTGTTGTTGTTGTTGTTGTTGCTTTTTCTGTTACTTTAATGATTGTTGCTATAGCAGTGGTTGGTACTATTAATGATGTTGTTTCCTGCACCATTTGATTGGTCGCAGGGAGGTTGGGGGGAGGGATGGAGTGGAAGAAAAGGAAAGGAGAACAAAAAGACAAAAGAGAAAGAAGTGACGTACGCACCCGAAGACAATAAGTTAAGAACGTGACGATACGATTAAGTGTACATAGAAAATCTGCACTCTGTCGCCATTAGAAAGTCCCATAGCAAACACATGTTGGTTTATAACAAATTTTCGGGGTGAGAACAGCTGAACAATAATAGTATTTGTGTACTGGTACTTGTGATGTTATCATCTTACCATTTGAACCTCACCCTGATTCTAACTTTAAATTTCCTATCAGCTGATCAAGTTCGTAATCCTCGGACACACGGTGGATGGCAGTGAGAAATATACAAAGCGTCGTAGAAGTGAAGTTTAACCTCTAAGTAGTGGCTCATCCCGATGATCTCAGACGTCAGTGTACTTTTCCTGTAACATATATAGCTGTGAAGCCTATGGTGGCCCCGGATGTTACACGCTAGGTCAAACAACTTGAAATGAGTGGGATGGGGGGGGGGGGGTGGGGGGGGGCGGCTACACTTTACTTTTGCCTATACTATAGACAACAGATGAGTAAGGCAAACACGGCTTTGGAATCGGAACCAGTTTAGAAGATTTAAAAAAAAACAACGTAAGAGGTGGCCTGCGGTGAAAAAAAGAAGAAGAACAACAACAACAACAATTACAACAACAATAATGCACATAAAGGTGACCCACTAAATTCAGAAAGGCGTCTGTGGTGTAGAGATTAGGAGCTTCGCTGTCGCACACAGAAGAACCCTGTTCGGTTCCCAAGTGGGGAGAAATCTTTATCGAGTATTTGGACCTTTCCATCGGGTTGTTGTATCCCTCTCAGCCCGGGTTAATCTTAACAGGTGGGGTCGGTAGCCAGTCCCCTAAATAATCTAAACTGTGTCGATGGGGACATAAAAAAACATTAAACACACCGATATTTTGAAAAAAAATATACTTACAACAAGGGTTGTTAAAACATATGCAGAGAATTCGTCTCTCAAAAGTTGTGGGTTCAACTACTACGCCCTCGGCGGAGAAACAGCAACACTGGCCTATGACTGCAGTTCTTTCTGCACTGTGACATATCCTCATTATCATCATCATCATCATCATCATCATCATCATCATCATCATCATCATCATCATCAAGTGCTATATCTGGGACATGCATCGGCGATCATAGTTCTCGGCTCATTCCTTTGCTCGGATGCTTTTAAAAAACAAACATTACCCTGATCTTTCCCTGTTACCCATCTGTTTAGGTTCTCCAAGTAGGTTACTCTGGCCCTACCTCTGCTTCGTTTGTCTTCAATTTTGCTAGCTAGAACTAGATGTTCAAGACGTTTATGTCTATTCTGGTGTCACAAAAACTGCATTAAATGCAATTTGTCTTTCCCTTATTGTATTTAATCAGTGAGCGTCTATCACAGTGACATCTCTGAAACAATTATAACAGTTAAAAGGGATGAACCCCCTGTCTGGTGCAGCTGTTTAATAAGGAATCGCGCTTCAAATGGATAAAAATCAAGCTCTTGTCCGGCTACAATGCAT